TAGTCTTCTCCCCAGTTATCTCTGTCCTCCTCCTACATTATCTGAACAAAGCGCTTGGCATATGGCATGAGACTTTAACAGCTGACCTGAGACTAATGTTTCTAATAGAGATGTCCAGAAACGCCTTCTCAAACATCTGGCTGAATCAGACCTCTGTCTTTCTGACCCACGCTACTGGCATATTCTGTTGGTATAATATGACATAAACATGTTTGATAAATGCTGAAACACAGAGAAAGTCACCACATTAGCAGCTGGACAAAAGAAACACTTGTGGTCAGGTGTAGCGGGACGAAAGTAACAAGTGTTACTTTTGTCCGGACAGGAACTCCTGACATATAAACACGATTTATTTTTATACTGAAAAACTCTGACAGGGCAAACTTCATGGTGTGTTAAAGCACTAACTAGCCTGTAGATTAATAATTACTGTGACACATGAAACGAGAGACACAACTTGTAATTTGAAAAAGAGTCCAATTTCAGAAATTTACTTGCCGTGCTCGAAAACAGTTTGCGGTTGCAGGAAACGATGATGAAATCATGCGATATTTGGCAGCTCCATCAAGGGTTGCGTGCTGAAGGTGCTGTCACAGCTTGGACTTCAAATGCAGTCAGGGCTCTGAGAAAATCGCCTTGTTACTTTCGTCCCATGTTACTTTTGCCCCGGTTTACCCCTATACTTTTAAGTAAGTTTATTCTATAGTTAAATTTACATATACATACTATACATGCGCGTGAGTCATCAGACAAAGTCTGTTACAGCAAGAGAAAAACATTGTTCTTTTATATAACTACCTGTTTTGGAAGCTTATCATATAGTGTGGCATCTATTTTTCTATTGGGGTGTAACAAGGGAACACAATGCATTTGACATCAACTCACGAGGTCTGTGATATTCTTGTAGAGGATTGAATTGGTGCCATTTGTAGTGAATAAGTATGGATACTTTGTATAAAAATTTGAGAACTGTAGCTAAAAAATTCAGTGAGTTATAGTTACTGAAGCAAAAAGTGTTACAACCATACCCGGTCTCCCCTACTGCTTTGTAGGCTGCACTTCAAAAAGGTCATAAAACAAAAACTAAACCCAGTATGTCGTCAGAGATGTAAAGATGTTGACATAGGGTATCATTTCATTTGGTCTGCACTCAGTTATGGTAAAGTAATCAGTGAATATTGTCCAACGACGGACATGGTTGCACATGTTTTGACTAAGCCTGTAACGAAGTTCAGAAATGAGAAATTCATGGGTTATATGTTTGGAAAATTGACTGCCAGAAATGTGTGTAATGCATAATTGTGAACTAAGTGTGTACAGTAGTTGATAAAGTTAGCTTTACTACGACTTGTATGGTATAAGAGCAAGAGGGGGTGTTAACATATCAACTAATATGTTGTTTAAGTGTGTTCTTACCCTGATATAGTCATGCCCTGTGAGGGATGTACAACTGCGCATGTGCAGAAATAAAAAGTGAGAGTACGAGCTCCCCGTTCTGGTTGAAGCACCAACGATGAGTGTGTGTGTTTATTCCTCCGTTAAGTAAGCCGGTATTCCTACCCTAAAGATGACAGCACCAACAATACTATATTTTATTTTATATCACTGGAAAATGTCTTTAGTGTGATCAAGCAGGTGTATAGACAGATGCAATGTCTTTGTCCCCATTATCTTGTGATCCCATACAGGACAAAGCTGTATCATCATGCTGTATCTGTGTCTCTTGACTACCTGAATGTGTTGCTAGGTGACTAGTTTATTGAAAATAAATTGTTGCCATGCCTGCTTTGATCATGTGAGCAGGTGGCCTGAATAGAACATAAAAGAAAAGGCCTTTTATCACATTTCATAACATTCATGCAGCATGTACCCTTCTTATCTGTGACATAATGTATATAGTAGCCTATGTTAATATTTATGGAGCTAATATAACTATAAAAATTAGTTTGTTAATACTTCATAAATATAATTAATATATACTGTATATATATAGCTCCAAGATGTTTTGCTACAGAAATGATCATTTTGAAAGTGGTTATAGGTGGTTAAGACAATTTCAAATGTAAAGATTAAACTTGTATCATGAATTCCTGTTGCTCACCATTCATAAATGATCAACTCACTACTTTATGTGTGTAATAAACACTTAATTGATGATCAAATAAAGAATGCTAACTCAGAGTTATTTTGCCACCAAATTAGATGAAATCTAATTTGATGCAACCTCTCAAACAGTCCACCAGTAGGCCTACCTGTAATCACAGAAATATTGGCAATGCCAGTGGCTGTATGTATGGGAGAAATTTTTATTGGGCTTCCAAGAGACCACAGCCTCTGGCAGCACGCAGTCACATACAATCGCACACGAATAACATTAACAGCTTTCAACATATACAGTCACACAACACATAGCAGTAGTCACAGTGAAATAACATTGAACACTTAGATAACTACATAATCCCCAACAGTTAAACATTCACCCACAGCAGCTGTAGTGGTAGAGACTTCACGATACAGTATTCCCCACAATAGCAAACTATTAGATTTCACGAGTGCCTACAAAATGTATTGCATACAAATACATTTTACAATTAGCTCATTACGTACCAAAATTGCACCGTCCCCTTTAACGCCTGATTCCGCATTTCCTACAAATAAAAGTTTTCCATTCCTGGTGCCCAGAGGATAAAAACTTACTTTTTCCAACCACCACAATGAGATTAACATTTGTGGTTATGAGTGAAAGGTCTCAACAACTGTTTATGTTTATGATTTATGTGAAATCTGCTACACTCATTCATGTCCACCTCAAGATAAACTGTGCTTTTATACCCAGATTTTTCCTCTAGCGAAATTTTGTTCGATTCTGCAAAACTACTAACATTCCTATCAGCTTCAGTTGTACTTTGTTTATTGCTAATTAGCAAATGTTAGCATGCCAAAATGCTTATGATGGTGTACATGGTATTAACATTATACCGGCTTAACATCAGCATATTAGCATGGTCAGTGTGAGCATGTTAGCATGTGCACATTAGCAATTAACTAAAAGCTCAGTCTCACACTGCATGCCTGTAGACTGACACTGGTGGTCGTTTTTCAAGAAGTAGAGTGTAGCATGGAAGAGAATGATGTACTGAAACTAAAACCACTGGGCAGGTGCCAGCTGACAAATTAGGAGAGAATGGAGAGACTTGCTCAAGCATACATCACTGTAATGAAGTGAGAAAGAAAGAATGGGAGACAGGAATCTGATTGTGACTCGTTAACATTACTAGAGAGACTGATTCTTTTGACCGTTGTTATATGTTTGCAACTGAAATTATTTTCTGTTTAACTGGATTTCCAAGAGGCAGATGCCATCTGATTTGGTGCAATATAAATAAATGTATGAAGTAACTGTAAGTTAATAATCATTACCTGATGATTGTGTGTTATTTTATCATTACATAAGCTTGTGTTTTTAGAAGCTATTATAAAGTGTTACCAAATGGCCCATAGTAAATCCATTAAAAGTTCTCAAATTAAACAAAACACACAATGCACAATTGAGTTTATTGTCTTACAGTATTGTTGCTTAAAGGTCTATCTACCTATTAGGCTCATATACATGCAACCTATGGAACATCCCAAAGTTGTTTGCTCTCTTTTACCTCATAAGTGCTGAGTACCAGATGTACTTATGAGGTCATTTTCGCTTTTGTTACTGACACTTAAAGAACGACAGACAAAGAGGTTTCTGAGGTGTGGGTTGCACTGTTTGCTGTTTCAAATGTCCTGCTGCACCGTCCACTGAGATCCCACAGATCTAATTATGCTTTTACAGACAATAAAGGCCAATTTATGTCATCCATATTTGTCCCACATAAACCGACAAGGCTTTGTTTAAACATGAAGAGGCTTTTCTTTGAATGCAACAATAAGGTTATTATGAAATCCAACAGCTACAAGGACTGACTGAAATTCAGCCCTCTGCCAACATCCAAGAGAAATGTTAGGAAATGGGGATACAGGAAATATATATTTTAGATGTAGTGTAAGTGTATGATTAAAGCACACACTGATAACAATCTTCCTTTTAAACTCAAGTTTCAGAGCCTTTATTCTCTAAATATGTTTTACTAAATAAACACATTAAAACAGACCTCTCCCATTAAAAGTCAATGTCCAAAAGGTTTTGCATGCATTGTATGCTGTAAGCCATGTTTACCTTGAAACAAGTTTTAGAAAATCATCCCATACTGCTCTATACAACTCAACCCTACCATACTGAGTACATACTGTATAATTTTCATTTCCATCGAGACCTAAATGAACATTTCTCAGCAAACCAAGTAACCTGAGCTGCACTTAATATAGCTTCCACCTGCCGTTGTTATACTAATTAAACAGAGTCAGTACATACTGTACTGTCTATGCTCTTAACCAGAAAGCAGATGAATATGGAACTCATACAACAGCTACTTAGGTTGAATGGTGATACATGTGTGTGCAGATAAACAACAATAGCTCCTCTGCTCACCATCCAGCAGCATGTAGAATATTTAATGTTTTTGTTCAGTGTGCTCTTTACCTCTTCCAGTGCTCAACGCATAATAATGGAGGTACTGGAGGACAGAGAAGTGGAAGTGGGCCATCAGCAGCCTGGAGATCTGAGGAACAGACGTGAGACTACATTGTCTCTGGTTTGAAAATGTTCAGTGGCTGATATGGATGGCAAACTACTTTCCACCTCCAAATTATTTCAGTGAGCTGATCAGGGCCCTCTTGGACAGAGCCCCTCTGTGTGACTGCACATGCACACTGCATGTTGCTGGAAATGAGAATTGAAGCTCCGTCATCCAACCTTTTCATTGTCAACATAATGCACTTTAACAATATCAGACAAGTTCACCTGAAAAATGTTAAGGATTCTCTTGAGGGACCTCAGAGACAGACCTGACAACCATTAAAGACAACACTTTCACAGATTTATCAGACAGTCACTTTAGTTTTGGGCAAAGTCTAATTAGTTTAATATTTATATATGAATGTATAAATGTCACATGAACAATTCAATGATTGTTATTTAATGCTACACTAGTTAGGTAATACATTATAGTTAAAGCAGCACTTTGCAAGACTTTTCCTTAAAAATACACCTACAGTCTATTATTTTTAATTACAAACATGGGAGAAACATAGACGATCGTCCCAGTGAGTGTGTCCTCAGAGCAGGTAAATCATCTTGGTGCAGGAATGACGAAATCAAATTTTAATAAAACTTTCTGCTTTCTGCTTCCTACAGCAGCCGTTTCATCCAAAGAAAGCTGCTCACCAACAACAACTAAAAGTCTTCGCCACCTCCAACTGCCTCTAAAAATGAAATGAATGAAATAGTCAGGTTGCAGTATTCATGATCACATTATCCTCTGTGCTGTTATTTGGGGCTGCAGACATGCAAAGTTGCAAGGAGTGGCTTGCAAAATCTCCTTTGCAGGTGATCGACTGTATCACCTCAGCAGCAACCAATACAGCAGTGACGTGCTTGTGAAATGGTCCAGCAAAGTGAAAGCTACAGGAGTCCAAGACATCCCAAACCCACAAGGAGTGAGAGCAGCAGGAAGGCGGCTGCCTGCGACAGAGCGTCGGACTGAATTTGAGGCTTGCCTGACTTGGCTGCAATCGGCCGGGTGAAGATATATGGGTGTTCCTACAGATGGGACACAGAGAATATGGGATGTTATAATCACTTTGTGTTGTGCATTTAAAAGCATATAAATGTTTTTGCATATTTTAGCTCTTTTTAGCATGTGTATGAGTTTGCTTGTATGTGTAAGAGCTTTTCAGTTGTGTACGCAAATGAGTTTGGTTTCATATGTATATGTGAGAGGAAAAGTACACGTACATGCTTGGTAATTCTGTCCCTGTCAGGCCTGATGGGTATCCATTCATTTCACAACGATATATATATCAACTTGCAGACTTGCAATTTACAATTAATATTTCATTTACTATTTATTTAATTATTTTGCTTTTGGTCTTGAAATGTATTTGTTGGTGTATTTGAGATGTTCTGAAAACTGAGTCAAACACCGACGAATTGTTGGCAAAATAAACCCAGGGGACAGACAACAAGCAAACATGTACCAAGATAGTGAAAATGATCCAGTGAATTTGAGCATTAAAAGGTTTGCTGTAGAACAACTGACTCTGAAGTCTCAGAGGTCTGAGCTCCCTTGAACGCATTAACAGAGAAACATTTCAAAATAGTCCCTTTCACAAATCTAAACTGAGACTGACTATTTATCTTTTATTTTTTATCCTCTCCTAGATTGTATTCTCTTTCCATGCTTAAAATATAATCAATCAATTTGTCCCCTCAAAGGTACGAAATGACTCAAAAAACTAACAAGGTCCTTTTGAAATTGCAGCTGGCTCTAGTCCATTTTTTCTCAATATAACATGCTATTAAGAACAAAGGTCAGTGCTTGCTTGGTTTATCTGCTTCATTAAAAATGCTGGAAACCTTTCAGGGTTAAAGACACAGGTAACATGCGCAGCTCTGGGGTGGTAACAACACTCTCCTACCATAGGTGGACAGATGAGGCTGATGGGGTCGGAGAAACTGCTCACAATCATCTTTCCTCCCTCAGGCTGAAACTGTGAGCAGAAGACAGAGAGGAGTTCATTTGTGGCATCACTGTGGACTATTTTTGCTCTGTTTAAAAAAGTATACTGCGGAAAAAGCCACTTTGTACACATCAAAAAAAGATGGACTGTCTCTTGAAAATGTTGAAGTTATTTTTTCCAAATGAAGTTATAGTAATAGCGGTTGCCTTTGAAAAATAATGATTACAAAAGCTGTGTCCTTCATTTCCCTATGCTTTTCTATTAGATTATTAAACATTTTTCATAGGTTTGTGAGAACAGAAGTCACAGATATTTGTTCACAGACTAAATCCTTCTGAATGGCAATTTGGGCTGTGTGTTGACCGTTAACCTCCTGTGCCATTAAATACAAGCCTTGTGACTCATTATTTACCATGTTGTTCCACAGCCCCTTGGCCAGCTCCTCGTGCCCCTTTATGGTGAAGTGGAAGCAGTCGTGAGTGAAGAAGGTCATATCGATCTTCCCATTCTGCACAGAGAGACAAAGACATACACACGAGCGTGGATTAACTGAAGGGGGTGTGTTGGGAAAAGCTGCAGCTGTCACACTCGGCATGTTAATGATTCTGTGTAATGTTTCACACTGATTCATCTCCTGCCACGTTGATATTGTTGAGGCCTTTGGAGTGAGGCTAGACTACCGGGAGACGGGGAGGGTCTGCGTGCTTCAGGAAGGGCTGGAGAACAACAGCAAAGTCGTCCCTGAAGAACCTGTCGCTGTGCAGCAGCTCCTCAAGTCTTTTCTGTGGACATTAGGGACATGAAAATCAATTTATCTGCCGGTTTCCTGATTTATAACAATAGGGGTCATTGCTTAACACAAAATCAACATGTAATATTTTGGGTCCATGCACCAGTTTGCAGCAGAATGGTTCATGATGGTTTAAAATGCAGTTTCTCATTGTGGATAACATGCACACTCCATGAAAGGTGAGGTGAAAACTGCACCTGAAACTCCAGATTGACTTCTACCAGCTCCCGCAGTTCAGGAGACTTGGCTACAGGCTCTATCAGGCATGAGCAGAAAGACCTAAATCAGAGTACAAAAAAAAAAAAAGGAGCAGGGGGGATGGATGTAAGATGTTAAAAAAAATAACTGGCAAGATTCCTGTGATGAATTTCTAATATTAAACATTATAAGCATAATAAAGAGCACAGGACCAGTGCCACATGTCAAGTACATAAACGGTATGCTTATTCAGCAGGATTTGGCTGCTTTGAAGTTCCCCTCCAGACATAATTTAAGACACAAATACTCTGCATGGAATAACATAACTTTAAATACCGGACACAAGATGTCTCCTAGGTATGGATAAGCACTGCACGTTTTCCACACCACTCAGTGATTGGCTAAACTAGTTCTGATATCACAAAATGCTCATATGCTCATATGCGAGCACAGAGAAACTTTCCCTCCTTGGCACATGAATGGGAAAACAGCCATGCAGTGTCAGACGCTCAAACAGCACAGTGAAATGACAACAAACAACATTTTTTTGACTGAAGGGGGACTTTAAGGCTCATGTAAACATTTACTGTTAAGAAAGAGTGACTCACCTTTGGAGCAGGCACCCTGGGGTGGGCTTCTGCACCTCCCTCAGAGTCTGCATGGGCAGGATCTGAACGACATTAACGATCATACGAGGAACCTGAAGCACAACACGGAGAAGACGCCCACGCTGTAGTGAATTCTAGCAGTATGCTGAAACCTCACTCATCTGAATGTCTTATCTCTTTTTCTTCCACTTTACCTCATTCACAAGCATTTCCAAGGAGACGGCCATATAGTGAATGAAGTTATCCACGGAAAATAGAGCCTAGAGAGAACATGGACACTCTGCAGAGATTAATGACACGTTTGTCATTCTGTAAAAAGCTTTTTTTATATATATATAAACTTTTTTCAAAAAGAAAAAGAAAGACCTTATCTTTGCAGTAATCACAGATGTCATTCATGCCCATGAGAATGGTCAAGAGCTTCCAGTCTTTCTCAAAGTTCAGACCCTAATAGAAGAGACAACAAACAAAAAAACACATTCTGGGATGGCATCTTGCTGGAGGATATCTCAGATTCTGGCTGTTTAGCTTTAATAACAAGATTTAACCGTTTCATCCCTCTGTTGTTACATTTCAGAGAAAACGGAGCATTGCTGTACCTCATAACCTCTCAGTGTGTCAATCAAATGTCTCGTCTGGCCAGGGAGGTTGCTAAAAAGACAGAATAACAAAATCTTTCTAAGATTATTAATAAAACTAAAGGTCACAGAAGCACATTTTTTAAACCTGAAGCACAAATAGAGCTAAAATCAGGCTAACATGTTATAATATTACAGGTTGCACAGTAAGCCAAACACTGGACACGTCACTCTGATGTGACCCTACAAGGTGTTGTGTCCAGTCACAGCCAGGTTGAAGCCAGTTTCACTGATATGAGCCTGCATGCCGTGGACCGTCTTGCCGGGAGCAGCACCCAGCAGGTTGGGATTGAACAGCTTGATGATATCTAAAGGAAAAAATCGGGAAAAAAATGTGTAAAGGCAATTTGTATTGTGTGTTTATCTGGAACATTATGCAAAACAATGATGTCAAGAGAAAGCTGAGATAGGATCAGTGATTAAAACATCTTACTTGCCAAAGTAATGGCATCCTGAAATGTTCCGTAGCCTCCAATGCTGCAAGAGGAAGACAAAGAAAATAGCATTTGTATCAAAAAAGTACATTTACTCAAGTACTGTATTTAAGTACAAATTTGAGCTACTTGTAATTGACTTGAGTATTTTCCTCTCATTCCACTTTGTACTTCTACTCAACTATGATTCAGATGGAATTATTGTACTTTTTACTCCATTAATAATTATTTGAAAGCTTTAGCTGCTTTACAGATTCAGACAAAACCTATGAAAATATACAAATAGGGCAGAAACGATTAGTCGATCGGTCACTGTCAGCAACAAAATTTCATGGTTCCAGCTTCTCAAATGTGAGGATGTGTTGCTTTTCCTTCCAATAAATCATTTTAAATAATTTTGAGGTTTGGACTGTTGGTCGGACAAAGCAAGCCTCATGAAGGTGTCACTTTGGGCTCTGGCTAATTATGATGGCACTTCTCACTATTTACAAACAAAGCAATCGATTAATGGAGAAAATAATCAGCAGATGAATCCATAATGAGAATAATCATTAATTGCAGTCCGAAACAATATAGATCAAAATGAGCTCCACCTCAACCAACCAAAACAATAAACTCTCACTTTTACATTAATGCATGGTTAATAATTAGCTAATGATATAATATATAATAGTCACAGTAACATTTTCTGCATTAAGACTTCACTTCTAAGGTTGTGACACGTGAATTTGAAATGTATAACATGCTGTCTACATGCAAAACCTCTACAGGAGATCCATCACAAGCTTCACACATGAGTCACCTCCAAGACACGTGACGAAACTCAATAGGAATCCCGAGGACAGTGGTGGCGTTGGCACCTATGGCTGTCTGAAAAGGAGAGACACACCATCTGAAGGAAATCTGATCAGGATCCAGTAAAAATAAGGGTGTGGGTGGGTATGTGTGTGTGTGTGTGTGTGTGTGTGTGTGTGTGTGTGTGTGTGTGTGTGTGTGTGTGTGTGTGTGTGTGTGTGCGCGTGCGTTTTGAGGATGTGATTCTTGCATTGCTTGTGTTGTCAGGAGTTCTTGTATCTTTGTAAACATTTACATTTCACAATAGACAACTGATGTTTAGTAAGAAGTTATCTGGCTACACAACTGTCAATGCAACATTTAGTCATCATGATTTGAATTGCATATTAATGGTCCAACACCAGTGTTGTTTCCATGTATTACTTACTCTGTATAGTCATTGCAGCTGAAGACAACAACAAACAAATAACACCTACTGTCAGTGAATCCCCCAAGGCAGCGATGACTTTGATATCCGCCGCCTTCACAAATTCAACTACACCAAAAGGAGAGAAAAAGATGGAGATGAAAGAGAAGACATGAATCTAAAATTTCAACTCTTGGATAACAGATTGATTTGGGGGTGGGGATCTTGACAGACCTGAGGAGGGGACGGAGGGAGAAGGACTCATATCTGGGCACTGGAACACAGGATGTTTGAAGCTCACCGGTCGAGCCTTCTCTGGAAACTCCTGAGAAAGAAACGAGAACTCACTGCCAGCTCTAAACCTATTATGTCAGATACGGATAAAATATGTGTGCTATGTGGGGCAGTCCTCCTTAAAGTTGGAACCTGTCTATTTTTTCATTTGTTTTTCACCCATAACCTGTTGGCTTTGATAGGCTGTACAACTACATCATCTTTTCTTTAGTCTGATACAGCTATGCTTGTTGTGCACATACTCAGGATGCCTGCTAGTCCATGTGGTGTGGTCAGTTGTCCCCCCATGCTAGCCTGTCTCTTATGAACCATGTTACCCATTGTTATATACTCAGATTGTTGTTTTTCTTTACTGTTTTCATTTTGTCCAATCGAGTGTATTTTTAATAAACCTGTCAATCAAGTCCTTTTGGTCATAGTCACATGTTGACTTGCCAAAATACAAATCAAATGACGTGATTTTTTTTTAAATCTTGTCCTGTGTCTAACAGCATTCATATGTTAAATGATAAAACCAGGTGTTAACAGTACCTTGCTCAGGGCCTCCTTGCTGTAGTGTCGTATCCCCTCCTCATACTCCGACCACCAGTTGTTGCCTTAAAGAGGATTATATCCAAAATGTCCATTTGAAACTTTTGTAATAAGTTACTTCTTAACACACGTTTATCAATTAAAAGTAGATTTCCTTTGATGTCATTCACAGCACAAAAATAGGTTCTCGTGTCACTTTTAGGAAGTTACATCAGTGTATCTCTATATAAATGTTTTTTGTTACTAGCTCAGAACATTAAATGCGGCACAATCGTAAAAAAAATAAAAAGGCCCCGTTTCAGAGGCTGTTGTAACAATAAATATAGGCACACAGCCTCACGTGTGGCCTGCCCTCCTGCTTATTCTAGCACTTACCTTTGACAGAGCGGGACGTGAGCATACATGTTGCCAGGGCGATCCAAAGCCACTCCATAGTGGTGCGTATGGGCCAGTCAATGGGTCACCCCTACAGACTGCACAATGTGATGCTCAGTTTTACAGCACTGTCACTTTGTCCCTCACCCACCCTCTAAAGCTGAGTGACAACGTGCAGGTCCAGCGAGAGCCAATCGGACCTGTTCAATCGCTGTCAGCACTACAACACCTCATGCTGGGATTGATCTTTAAAAGCAAATTAGGCCACAATCAATCATTGTATTGATAGCTATAAACATGATTTCACAGGTTTTCTACATTACAGGGAGTGTGACTTACAAATAACCTCCGACATTAAACATAAGCAATAAAGACAGCATTCAAAACAAACATTAAATATCCATATATCATTTATTAATTTTTTTATAAACTTATTTGCGATGGTAAAAATGCAGTCTTCTCGACAATCTTGACCAGTGTTTCATTTTAGACAAACTGAATTGTGTGGGTATGAATGTGTGACGGAAGGAAACAGTTTGGGATTTATTTTTTTTTTAAATCCTCCCGCAAATAACATTTTAATGTCCTTTTCGACTTCTTATACTTCATGCAGACGTGTTGGCAGATGACTTCTCAATACTTTAACTACAAGCACATATCGTGGAACTAAACAAATGGAAATTGAAGAGAAAATGGCAAAATCAGAAGTTTCTAATCTTATTTTGATAAATACTGTGTGGCCTAACCAGTGTGGCTTCGTTTCTCAGATTTAGGTCCATCTGAGCCGAAAAGTGTAGGCAGAGTACAGAGCTCCAACTTGGACTTTTGGTGAGGGGGTGGATATTCTCACAACAGTTGTGTAACTAAACACACACACACACACACACACACACACACAAAAACTGATCCTCTTCCTCTAATGTAGAAACCACAGTCTGAGGAGCTGCTATCTTTAAGGCTGCTCTACTTTCTGCCTCAGCTAACACAAG